GCTGGGCGCTCAGTGGGCGCAGATGAGCGACGAGCAGAAGGCGACCTTCAGCGAGGCGCGCCCCCGCGGCAAGCCTCGGCGTCGGGAGAGGGAGAGGCCACCCATTCTCTTGCGGCCAGAGGACACGCCCTTCGGCATGGGGGAAAATGACTGCCCTATCACGCCAGCCCGCGCTGGGGACATTCTGGAGCGCATAACTGCTCTCAGCGAGGAGTGGGGCGTCAAGGTCCTGTGTATGCAACCCCCCATCCCATCCCTGCCTCTCTCGCCCGTCCCTTTCGCCCCCTTCCTCGAAGGGGAAGGGGGGTTCAAGCTTCAATGAGGTGAAGCCGCCCATTGAGCGTCCGTTGCGTGGCTTGCTAACTCTGCCAGGGCCAGTCGATGGGCCGCGCTGCGCTCGCTTGAGAATCGGGCAGCGCGTGAGTGCGTATGAGGCCGAGGCAATTGCAACAACCAGGCTTCATGAAGCAATGATGAGACGGGTGAGCATGTATGACCACATTACCGGAAGTGTTGCTGAAGATATAGCTGGTAAACTACCTCTCTTCATGTTTGTCCCTCAGGATGTAGATGATGCGCATGGGGCTCCACTCTTGCGGTTGCGGTGTGTGCGATCGAAGAACCCTCAGATATCAGTGATGCTCGAGTGCGAAGCTGACCACGATCCCGCAGAGGGAGCCCGGGTTAGGCTCAAGTTGACACGCGAATCAGGCAGCTCGCATTTCCTCAGCCCCCAGAAGAACTTAGAAAACCTGATAGCGACAGCTCGGAGGTTCACAGTTCGCATCTTAGAGTACAGACACGTCAGCTTGCTGGAATTAGAAATCACAGCCGTCGTGGACATCACGGCAGCACTCTGGGAGAAACGCAAAACTCAAGCCAAGGACCCAGTGCTGAAGGTCCTCGAGGGATTCGGGGAACCGAAGAAGGGTGCGGGAGGCAAGAACAAAGCCAGCAGCAAGGGCCTTCGGCCAGATGATGAGCCGGGCGACGTGCTCGATCCTGGCGACCCAAAGGAAGCAGTGGTGGAGGAGGAGGATGAGGAGGAGGCGACAGGGGGAGACAATCAAGAGAGCGACTCGGACGACCCAGATCAGATAGCAAAGCATGTGATTCACATAAATTATCACCACCATGAGGCTGGTTTTGCGGAGGTGCCTGAGGCAGAGCCGAAAGGCGACGACAAGGTGGACGCGCTGGAGCTCCCCAAAATGTTGCCGCTTTGGGACCCTGATGACAAGCAAGGGCATGTGAGAGACCGTCGCAACCCTGGACGCATCCTTGGGGCCATCAGGTATTTTAACAATGGTAGGAAGTGTGCTGTCACATGTAGGCTGCACGGATGCAAAGTTCCCCTCCTGACGGAGAAGAACGGCCCGCCACTGCGCGACATCTAAGGATGGTTCGAAGATGCTGACAGCCTCCCTGAGGGAGCCGGCGGGAGAGATCAGCACTCGCGCATGTTTAGAGAGGTGCTTAAATGACGTGCCTCCCGACAAGAGGGAGGAGGTGGAGAGCCCCCGCCCTCATCGTGCCAGCCCTAAACTATCATAATCATCCCCTCCTCCTCCTTCTCCCTCTTGGGTAAGGCTCGGCGGTCATTCCTTGAGTCTGAGCTGGGACAGGCTGGCGGGGAGGGCAGCAGGACTTGTGACTCGAACCCCTGGTCTCATTGCGGGCGCCTTTCGGGCCAATTTGTGGGTTCAGGAGGGGGGGTGGGGGGGGTCACTCCGCTGTTCTCTCCTGCTAGCTCGTGCCGCCTCTGCCTGAATCAGGGGGCCAACTGCTCTAGACTGCGCCCCTGGATCGCTCCGTAAGCCTTCGGCCGAAGCGCTTCAATAACTAGTGCAACAATGCCCTTAGCCGGGGGCCGTGATTACACGCATGCCGCATGCACCATTCCATATCATACAGTTGTTCAATCAGGGCTCACAGCCGACGCCCGATGAGATCAGGCAGATGCTAGAGTGGACAAAGGAGTACGACGCGCGCCCCTTCAAGGAGGGGCTGGCCGCATTCCCGACGACCTCAAGGCTCGCCCGGGAGGTTGGGCCGCTGGTGCGCAGCTGGATCCGGGACGCATGGGCCCCTCGACCTCAACGCTTTTGACACCTTCTTGGAATCCTCTCAGAGCCGTCTTGGAGCCCTCTCAGGGCCGTCTTGGAGCCCTCAAGGCCGTCTGGGAACCCTCGAACGTCGCCTCTTGGAACCCTCTCAGGGCCGTCTTGGGGCCCTCTTGAGCACCTCCGAAGGCCCCAGGAATCCATGATGATGATGCCGCCGATGATGTCGATGATGAGGATGATGGTGATGAGGGCTACTTATGATGATGATGGCTACTTATGATGAAGGCGACAAAGATAATGATGATGGCTACTTATAACTATGATACTATGATGATGATGAATGGTGACGGTGATGATCCAGTGATGATGATTACGAGGATGACGAATATGACGATGATGCTGAGGATGATAGGATGAGGATGACGATGGTGATGATGATGACAGCGACGACGATAGTGATGATGGCTACTTATAATGATGACGACGATGATGACGATGATGCCGAGGGCTACGTGATGATGAGGATGGCTACTTATGATGATGATGACGACGATGAGCGATGAGGATGATGGCTACTTATGGTGATGCTGATAACGACGATGATGATGTATGCCGCCTGTCCAGTGGGGTGTTATTTGACGTCTCAAACTTCACCCTTCCACTTGTGCTGATGACGCACAAGTGGAAGGACAACTGTTGCCAAATCATCACCATCATCACCTTTGTCATCATCGCCATCGTCGTTGTCCGTCGTCCGCCGTCTCTCGTTCGTCTGTCGTAGGTTCGTGTCGTTTCGGACGCCGTTTTCCGGCCCGACGCGCTCCCAGCGAACACCCCGCATGCTTCGCGCATATGTGTTTTTTTGCAATACTTCATGAAGAAAAACGGCGCGCAAAATCTGGCAGATATCGCCGGTTTCTGCGCGCCGTTTTTCTTTATAAAGTATGGCAAAAAACAATATGCGCGAGGCATGCGGGGTGTTTGCTGGGAGCGTGTCGGGCCTGAAAACAGCGTCCGAAACGACGCGAACCCACGACGGACGAACGAGAGACGGCGGACGACGGACAACGACGATGGTGATGATGACGAAGGTGATGTTGGTGATGATGATGATGATGATGATGATTCAATGATTCAATGATGATGATGATGATGATGATGACGATGATGATGATGATGATGGTGACGATGGTGATGACGGCGATGGTGATGATGATGATGATGATGATGATGATGATGATGATGGTGACGATGGTGATGATGATGGTCCAAGATGATGGTGACGGCCCAATACCAGTGGCAACGTCAGCCCTCTGGGGCCCTCCCCAGGGCCCTCGGAGGAGCCCAAAAAGGGCTCCAAGACGGCTCCGAGAGGGTTCCATCAGGGCCCCAAGAGGGCCCTATCATGATAGAACTGGGTTGAGGCTTTGTCGGGGTCCTCTTAAACACGCCATCACCATCATCATGAGCCACATCATCATCAGCAGCATCATCATCATCATCATCACCATCATCACCTCACCATGATCGCCCACCATCGTCACCATCAACAATATTAGCAACGATCAGCATGCACCAATGGCAAAGAACAGCGCCAATAATCATACATCGCAATTAAGTCTGTCTGTCCAGCAGACCCTCGCCCGCGACCCCAGAAGCGTAGGGGGAGTGAAATGGGAGCAGAGACAGAGAGAGGGGGGCGCGCCCCAGGAGGCCTTCCAGGGCTATGTTGTGCGTCGATCTGCGAGGGCACGACGTGAATTAGGGCTGAAGTTGCCTACAGCTATCTCCGTCCTCCTGCTCCTCCTGCCCCCCCCCCTCCTTATCCTCGCCCATCCCTCCTCCTCGTCTCCCGCCGCCAACCCTGCGCAGGGAATGTGTTAGAGCCCAGGGAGCGTGAACGCCGCTGTTGGCGGGCGCAGTCCTCGTTGTCAGCAGCTGGTGCACACCGATCAGCCGCCAGCGACCGAGGCTCGCCTCGCGGGCGAGGAGAGTGGATGGAGAAGCAAGGGAAGGGGGGAGGGGAGGGCAAGGGGCGAGGCCGAAGGCTGCGACGAGGAGGAAGCGGTGGAGGAGGACAAGGAGGAGGAATATCAAGACGAGAAGGGAGAGCAGCCCGACGCTAAGAGGGCGCGCCTGTTCGGTGCTTCAGGGCGCGCCCTTATGGGCTTCGCGGGATCCTTGGAGGGGGGGGGCCGAGAGGGGGAATCCCAGGGTGGCCGACCCTTTGGGGGGGGGCCGAGAGGGGGAATCCCAGGGTATGCGAGGGGCTCGAGGAGCAAGACGGCGGGGGGGGCTCACGGTGAGGGGCTGGGGAACCTGAGAGCGGTGCGGAGGGGCTGAGAGCGGCACGGGGGGCCCTGAGAGCGGTACGGGGAGCCTGAGAGCGGTAGGGGTGGCCCCGGGGAGGCCCGGGGACCCCCCGCCCGCGACTTCCCCCCGACACGCCCCCCGCCCGCGACTTCCCCCCGACACTTCCCCCTGGTTACCCCCAGCTTCCCCCCATATCATCCGCCTCGGCCCCCTCGAGCATTGGGCGCCCAAGGCCCCGCAGGGGAGACAGGGTAACTAGTTTACCCTGTCTCCCCCTGCCGCTGCCGCAGTTGATGAGCCCCCCAACTCGCCTTGGGATGTTAACGATTGTGCGTAATCGACCGAACATCGAGGGGGTGCGTCAATCCTGCTCCTCCTCCTCCCCCTCATCCTCCAAGAGGCGCCCAGGTCTCCTGGTCCCACACTTCGGAGTGCGAATCTGGCCCCCCCCCCGCCTATCCAACGATCGGCGCAAGCGCGCCACACCATTCCCTCACCGCCGTTTTGGCCCGAGCTATCTCAAGTGAACCTCGCTCAGAACTACTCAGGCACGACGCGGGTTTTCGCCAGTGCAACAACCAGGCTGCATTAACGATGTCGGAGGAGCTGGGATCCGAATGGATGGCGGATCTGGCCAAGACCTTGACTGAGGGCAGCCACATGGACGACGCGTCGACTGTGGCTCCTTTGGATGACGACGTTGCCGAAGATTATGAGATCGACGACCACTTCATCTCGAATATGAACTTCTTCCAGGTGCGCACCTGCAACGTTTGTCGGCACTCTTCTACGGAACTCAACCCGCTCACCGCAGGTCCATACCGGCGATCCCTCACGCACCCCACCTGGCCGTGGCTCCACGGCACGCCGTCGGCTCCGCGCGGCTTCGCCTGCCGCCTGTGCCACTTCACGCGCGAGCTCGGCGGGTTCCAAGAGGAACATGGCACAATGACGAACGTCGTCACGAACGCCAAGAACACCAAGGAGTACCCGACCTTGCTCGACGAGTTCATGGGTGCACAGGACGAGCTCGTCAAGCAGGTGAACGCGGGGAAGATCTCTCAGAAGCTCCGCGGGGCGAAGAAGGCGGACGCAAAGGCGAATCTGGGCAACGCCAGGAAGAAGGTCATAAGCTTGATTCAAACCGAGGGCGTGCGCTCGAAGCTGAAGTTCAAGGCGTGGCCATTGGATGAGTGGAAGAAAAGCAATGCTGGCAGGGACCCTCACGACGAAGGCCACTTGGTGAAGAAGATCCCCTACCCCGGCAAGGGCGTCATCTGGTGCGTGCTGCTGAGGAAGGGGGAGGACAATGCAGCTGACGTCGAGATCGAGTCCTCCATGTTGGCCGAGGCTCGAGAGGAGGTTGACGACGGGAACAACAGGCTCAGGCAGGGCCAAGAGATGGCTAAGTTCAAGGCTATGCAGTCGGCGCTGATCGGCGACGCCGCAGGTGACCAAGGGAAGGCAAAGGCGTACAAGCCTTCCCCCAGCGAGCGAAGTCCGGCGCAGGAGTGGGGTGAGGGGGGGGCCATCACTGTCGACGAGAGCCAGCCGATGGACGGTGATGACGAGGAGGAGGACGACGAGGAGCCCGAGGACGCGGTCATGAATGCCCTCCAGGACTCGCTGCTGGGCGACTTCCTCAAGGAAGGCGACGTGGCGGCGGGCAGGCCGAGTAAGCCGCCTGGAGGTCAGGGGCGCGGCTCCTCAAGCAAGGGTGCGGCCGCCAAGAGCAAGGCAAAGTCTAAGGCAAAGCAAAAGGCCCAGCCGATGATGGACTCGACGCCCGACTCCTGCAAGCGGCCTCCCACGGACACTGGCCCCTCCAGCGCATCTGGTGACAAGAGGCAGCGTGGAGCCCTCCGTGCCCCGCAGGTCGTCATGTCGGTGGACGAGATTCTCACCGGCGAGGGCTTCGACGAGATCGAGGCCAAGGTGAAGAACACGTTCGAGCTTTTGCGCAGTGACGAGTTCGGCCACATCTTCATGAACGCGGAGCAGACGAAGGCGATGGTGGCCAAGAGTGTCGAGCTGGGTAAGACGTTGACGACCGCGGCGAAGGAGATCAACGACATTGACGGCAAATTGAACAAGCGATCGACCACGCCGCGTGAGTGTCTGGAAAAGCTCCGCCGGCGCCGCACTACCATTCGGAAGGTCATCGGCGTCCTGTCAGACATGGGCAAGCGGGATAAGGACGTGACCAGGCTGAAGGCTTCTATCGAGGAGACTCAGGACGAAGTTGTATGGGGCGATGGCCTTACCGCCATTCTCGTGAAGGAGAACCTGTGCGAGCTCGCTCGCTTCGCTAAGGTGGAGCAGATGAGGGCTGAATACGTCAAGCTATCCGAGGGCGTGCAGTTCTGGGGGCGCTACGAGACGGCCGCCATCAACTCTTTCGCTGCCGACGTGGTCGAGGAGAGCATGCAGAGGGTCGCCTCGACGTTTGGTCGTGCACAGCGGGGGGCGGCATCTGCACCCGAGCCCCCCGTCTCATCATTCTTCAAGATGTGCTCGGTGATGGAGGCGATTCAGAACATACCGAATCTCTTGGAGTCGAAGGCTTCGGAGGACGCGGGCACTCTTCACAAATCCTTCAGAATCTTTCATGATAACGCGGCCCCTGAGGACGTAGCTAACACAGTAGTCGCTCTCGCCACGCTTGATACGCTCAAGACCTCGGACAGCTACATCGGGATGATCAAGACCTTCCTCATCAGCCGTCAATGGAGTATTGCTCGAAGTGCAATCCAGTCCAAGATCGATACTTACATGGAGAAGGAGAAGAAGGTTGCCCCTTACCAGACACTCTGGAAGGCCTTCGATGATGCCATCAGGGACCCCGTCTGCGAGGCCAAGTTCTCGGCTCTGAAGGAAGGGATCGAGAGCGTCATGAAGTTGGCAAACGACGCGGACGCCTGCGATACGACGGTTGCGAACTTCATGAAAGCAATCAAGAGGATCTCCGAGGTCGTCCAGACTCAGGCTCCCAAGATGCTGGAGACCCTCGCTGAGGGTCTTGGCGAGGCGTTGTCAGTTCCGAAGGCCGACCGCGAGGAGGGCGAGGTACCGGAGCGCTTGGGGAAGGCATGCTCCACAATCTCAGGGCTCTCGCACGGCTTGAACATGATCCAATTCAGGGCCAGCGTGAAGATCGAGACCATGAGCCCTGCGATGGCGAAGATCAAGGACGTGACTGTGCACGTAGACGACTTCGACAAGGCGTTATCTTCCATTCAGCGGACCTCGCTCGTCGGAGACAAGATCCAAAAGATCTGGAAAGCGTATTCTGACTCCGCAGGCTTGGACATGGATGACAAGATCCTGTCGGGCCTCATCGACGACTTTGCCAAGCTGCGGGAGTTGGACGAGCACGTTGGCACGAACTCGTCCCTTCAGACCCGCGTGAAGTCTTTCACGGATGACTACTCGTTGAAGGAGAGGGTCCGCCCTCGATTGGACATCGCCTACAAGGGCCTGCAGGACGGCGAGGGGGAGGAGGTGCCCATGTATCTCTCCCGCCCTCCCTCCCTTCGTCCTTCTCTCTCTCTCTCTCTCACTCTCTGCCTGAATCAGGAGGGTGACGAAGGTAGGGGGGGGGGCAAGGGAACTACATGGGCCCCCAAGGTGCCGGAGGAGGAAAAGGAGGTGGAGGAGGAGGAGGAGGAGGAGGAGGAGGAGGAGGAAGGAGGACGGATGATAATGATGATGATGAGGAGGAGGAGGGAGCATGAGGGGGAGGGAGGATGGGATAATGTTGTGCCTTTCCAACAGGACCGCTTGAAGCTTGCTTACCAGGCTGTGGCGGAGCCCGCTGCCGTTGCCGATATCCTTTCGGATTGGGAGAAAATGCATTTCTCGCTCAGTCGGCTCTTCATCTGGGGCGCCAACCTGAACTTGTCGGACAATCTGGAGGTTCTCGTAAAGCTGATGTCGGCCATGAAGACCCTACTCGAGAACTGGTCGACCTTCGCCAGCGCCAAGGATAAGATCGCCGGTAGTGCAGAAGATGGCACCCCAAAGCCCTTGCCCCCAGAGTTCGCCAAGATTGTGAAGGCAATGAGGGATCTGAAAGAGAACCCGAAACTTCTCGAAAAGGTCGCGGTCATGTGCATGGAGCTCCAGACGGGGACGGACTTCGCCAAGAATATCACGATGCACATGTACGAGGTGACGGAGGTCATGGATAACGTGCGCAAGCAGGTGAGCGCGAAGACCGCAGATGCCAAGAAGAAACTCGACACTGCGACGGGAGCTTTCACCATCGAGTCCGATGCCAAGGCAGCGGAGCAGTTGAAGAGAGCGGCAGAGGCAGCTATGAGTCAGATCCGTCATTGCGAGGAGGTGCTGACAAGCGCGGGCATCCCGGTTGCTGACGACCCCAACGTCAAGAGCTGCCATGACCAGAAGGAGATAGCGCATGGCATGTCCGTGGCTTGGGGGCTCTATTCGTTGATGAAGGCGCCGAACACCAGGGGCCCAGTCAAGGGCGTTAAGTCTCGCAAGACCATGGAGCAGATCTTCAACACCCAGGTGAGGCCGCACATCTCGGCGGACGGCCAGTGCCGCATCAAGTGGATCGACAAGAAGATGCTGGAGGACGTCAAAGGGGTTCTTGCCATCAAGGAACCAGCCACTGACGGGACTACCACCGGGGAGTCTGGCGGCGGCAAGCGCGGCCGCAAGGATGGAGCCGCCGCGCCTGCCGCTAAGAAGGCCAAGGCAGCGTAGCGCGCTGACTACACCTCAGAGCGTAGGGGAAGCTTGCGACAGGCTCGAGCTGACGCGGCTAGCGGCGCCTGACGGCGTTGCGAGTTGGCTGCGGGCTCGGCAGGCTAGCGCCCTGGGCCGCATAACGGGATACTGAGCTCCCGATCGGTATCGAAAGTCAGGGTTAACGGCTTAACAGGAGGATTTGGGGTCGCGCTGGAGTCAGAACCTCAGAAGCTCATCAGCCATCGAGTTAACGTGGCCCAGGACGCACTTAGCCTGTGTTTTTCTCGAAGCCTGCTCTGCCCAACAGCGCGTGCCTGATAGCTCTCTTCCCTCTTCCCCACTTCCCTCCTTCCTTCCCCCTCCTCCTCTTCTCCCCTCGCCTGCCCTCCTCCTCCTCGCCCTCCTCCTCGCTCTCTCCCCTCCCTGCTGAATCTACTGCGCGCGCGAGGCAGGCAGGCGGGGCGCCAGGTTCGCCCAGCCTGGCTGGGGCGAAGAGTGCGCCGTGGGTGCTGGCGCAAGGCCGGGCCGTCGCCTCGCAGAGCCAGTGTGACGGGAAACCGAGTAACCATGAGTAAGATAACCATGAGGGACCATGAGTAAGGTGAGCAGATAACCATGAATAAGATAACCATGAGTAAGGTATCCATGAGTAAGATAACCATGAGTAAGATAAGTGGGAAAGAAGGTGAACATATAACCATGAGCAAGATGAGTCACTAAGATGAGCATCGATTGTGGGGCCCCAGACAGAGATTTCCAAGTGCAGCGTCAATATGGCTCCAAGGCAACCCTCCCCGGGAGCGTCTGGGGCAATCTTGGGCCAGCTTGGGGGCATCTCGGGCCGTCAGGGTGCCATCTTGGCCGTCTTGAGGACATTGGAGACATCTTGGATGCCATCAGAGGCGAAGGAAGCCGAAAAGGGGGGGAAGATGAGGCCAGAGGGGGATGGGGGCCCGCCCTCCTCCCGTCCCCCCCCCCCTATGTAGAGTTTACTGCGGTAGATGGGTGTCGCGGTTGCTCCAGGGCTTGATGGAAGCTGCTTTTGATGCCGTCAGTGCCGTCTTTTGGCTCGAGTTTGGCACGGCAGCTGCCGCGCCGAACGCTCGCGCCTTGCTGCCGACAGATTAGCGCCCAGCGGGCGCGTTCGCAGTCGATATCCTTGTGATGAAGTGGCCGAGGGCGAAGGAATCGGGCAGATACCCCCCCTTAGCGATAGCCACGAGTGAGGTGTTGCTCTCCCAGCAGGTGCCTGCTCGGAAATGCATTGCCTTCATGGGGCCAAGGGATATGTAAGGTACTCCATTATAAATAGTAAAATATAGATATCATGTGTATCTGCATGCTCTCATTACATATTCAAATTTATATATGCGTGTGTGTCGCATGTCCTCTGATATGCATGGGCTCGAAGACGTGATTGAGATTGCGCTCTGCTCGGGAGGGCAGCTGCCTTGTGAGGCGGCCTGCGGCTGCTGGCGGCCCCCCCCAGAAGCGCCCAGCGGCGCTTGTCCGCCCGGATGCTCGCCAGCTCACAGGGGGCTCCCCGTTGGCGAAGGCCATCTCAAGCATGGTGAGCGAGGAGAATGCCGAGACGATCGCGAAGCACATCGATGAGTACTTCGACGGCAGGGTGGGCGTGGCGAGCCTGTGCAGCGGCTGCGAGATCCAGCACGTCGTCGGTACCATTCTGTCGGAGACGGTCAGGCGGCCTGGAGCCATCACCACCGATATGACGTGCGAGATCATTCCTCGGAAGTACGAGTGGATCCAGTGCCTCGAGTCCCTGCTGGGCGATCCTGATGACGATGCATGCTGCTTCGAGGACGTGACGCACATGGACCGCGAGACGGCCCCATGCCGCAAACACGAGGGCGCAGAGTGCAGCATGGAAGCTGCGAGCAGGCGCTGTTCCATAACAGCCGCTGGCTGGAGTTGTAAGGACCTTTCGAGAATGAAGAGCATGGGCCCTGAGAAAAGGGCTAACGTGTTGGAGTCGGGGACGGGATCCAGTAGCGAAACATGGTGGGGCGTCCACTCCTTCTTGAAGCGGTCCAACACGGCTGTATACATCGGCGAGAACACAGAGGGGCTGTTGAACGTGACCTCCCAGAATCGGGTCTTGCTGCTGAAGGCCCTCCGGGACATAGGCTACGTCGGCGACGCGAAGCCCCTCGAGGCTTCCGTTCACGGCGCAAGGACTTCGAGGATTGCTTCTCCCTCTTTATTTTCGCCGTCGTCGTTTACCCCTCTCCCTGAACCTACCCTCCCCCGCCTTTGCCAAAGGAAGAGGGCCTGGATCGTGGCCGTGCGGTTGTCAGCCTTCGGCCTCGAGGAGGTGGAAGGGCGCCGCCTCGTGGGCTCAATGTTCGAGTCGATCGCAAACATGCAGATCGACCAGTTGGGCCTCGACAGCTTCCTCCTGAAGAACACTCACAAGTACGTGACCAACAGACTGAACGCCATGCAACATAATCCTCCAGATGAAAAAGAAGATCCGCAGTGGCCTGAGATCCTCAAGAAGGCTTTGAACAACTACCACTTGAGCTACAAGACCGTGATGGCACACCCAGTGCTGCAGAATGAGTGGGTGAAAGCTTTGCCGACCAGGGAGCGCCACTCCGTGGCCCTGGCAGCGACGGTGAAACCCGACGCGTTTGTCGCGGACATCGGCCAATCTGCGACCAGGATCAGATACGGCTTCGACCAGATCAGTCCGACCGTGTGCCCGAACGCAAAGATGGTGATCAACCCGACGAGCGTGGACGCCGCTCGCGTTCTGATGGGCGTGGAGATGCTGGCGCTGCACGGCTTCCCATACCCATTGCTGTGGGCAATGTTGAAGAAGCATGACTTCTCAGACTCGTTCATGATGAACTTGGCAGGGAACTCTTTCGTCGGCCACTGTTTCGCGGCCGTGCTCGCAGCAGTGTTGCTCCACTGGCCCGGCCCAGCTGCCCTGCCCGAGCCGCCTGAGCGCGCCGAGCATCTTGCCGAGGCGACGAGGTCTGATAGTCAGACCGTGGATGAAGTGACTCGCGTGTTGGGCATTGGCGTTGAATCATAGATCGGGCGTGCGCACCCCCGCGTGGTTTAGATAGGCTATGTACTATAATGTCTGGCCCGTCGGAGCTGGGCCTAAACTCTCACTCATACAGACGGCCACGCACGCATGCAGACCACCACACTTGCACACTCACACTCACACTCGCACTCCCACACACGCACACACACACACACGCACACCCACACCCACACACACACGCACACACACACACACGCTTGACACACAAGAGAGGTCAGGTAATGTTCCTCAGTCCACGCGGCCAACGACCCTAACAGTGCAGCATGGGCATTCGGAATTCGACAATCATCCATCCTCCATCCTCCTACTCGACGCCTCCATCCTCCACCGCCTCTGCACCCCGTGCGCCAAGGGAGGGCCCGCGCCTCCGAAGGCCCACCGGGGGGCGCTGGCGGCCGCCGCGGTGCCGCCGCCGTTCGGAGCTTGAGCCATCGACGCGGCTCGGGGGCGATGCTACCTCCTCCTCCTCCTCCTCCTCCTGAGGAGGAGGAGGAGGGGATAGGGGGGATGGTGGAAGCGGAGGCCGAGGGGGTGGAGGAGCGGGGATGACGTGGTCTGCCGTGCAGGATTGGAACGTCGGATCTCATCTTTCTGCTCCCTCTTCGCCCTCATCCGCCGTGCCCTGCTGGAGTTGGATGGGGAGTGGGAGGATCGGAGGGAGGAGGAGGACGACGAGGAGGGGGGTAGCCTCTATATGCAGATGCTCAGATGCCTCTCGGCATTCGTTCCGCCGCAGTTTGCATGGCAGCTCCAAGGTTCGGGATTTATGTCGTATGTATCGTATCATGTTTCAATGTATAATATATAATAGAGCACCACGAAATATCATGTATGATACATGTATAATATATATATATATACATACATATATATATACATATATATACCGTATATACACGCAGGGGTCCGCGGGGAACATTCAGGGGTAGCTTCGGGGCGGGGGTCCAAGTTGAGGCGGGAGGGTCTCAGGGTGGGGTTCACGGTGGGGTTCAAGGTGGGATCCACGGTGGGGGTTCAAGGTGGGGTTCCAGGTGAATCCCAGGGGGGGTCCCAGGAGGGGTCGCGGGGGTCTCTGAGGTCGGTCTCAAGGTGTGCGCCAAGGCGGACGGTGGGGTTGACGTTGGGGTCGAGGTCGCGGTGGGGTTCGGATGGTGCCCTAAGAGCATAGGTCTTGAAACATTATAAATGATGATGATGATGATGATGATGATGATGGTGGTGGTGGTGGTGGTGATGGTGATGATGATGATGATGGTGGTGATGATGATGATGATGCTGATGATGATGATGATGATGCGGATATTGATGATGGTGCGGAAGGGTTATCGATTTGCCGGAGGGGGGGGGGTTCTTAAATGCTTCCTGGGGTTAAGCCTGACGCGAACAGAAGAAGGATCACCGTGTACCCGACGGCACGTGCCTTGCAAGTCTAACTCCGAGACGCTGGCAGCTCAGACCTTCGAGATTGTTCAAACCCTGCAAGGCATCCCCGTAGTTGGAGCACTGCGAGCAAGAGTTGTTCGTCGAGTTTCGTCCAGCTTTGCAGCTGCAGCCGTCGAATTGGTGCCCGATGCGATCGTTGAACACTTGCCGTTTCTAGCCCCAGGCCCTTGCAACTGGAGCATCGCAAGTAACGCGCTGTCTTCCGACTTGGCCGCGCCTTGCATATTGACCTTGTTCGAACGTGGGGTATCTGTACCTGTGGAAAGTTGTTGGTGGGGGCCCTCAGATGAACTTATAAATCTGAGCAAGCGTTGCCGCCAAGGACAGTTGCCAGTGGCTCATGCAGCGAAGTATGAACCCCGTGCAGCGGCCGCCTGAGGCCTGAGGTCAATGACATGCGAGGTATTATCCAAGGGGGCTCCTGCATGTTGTTGCCCCTTCCCTCTTCAGGACCTGCCCTTACTCCTTACGGTAGGCTCTTGGAAGTTGA